CCAGTCTATCACTGATGGGCATTTGGGTTGGTTCAACTGATGGGCATTTGGGTTGTGAACAGTGCTGCAATAACCATACGTGTGCATGTGTCTTTATAGTAGAATGATTTGTAATCCTTTGGCTGTATACCCTGTAATGGGATTGCTGGGTCAAATGGTATTTCTGGTTCTAGATCCTTGAGGAATCGCCACACTGTCTTCCACAATGGTTGAACTAATTTACACTCCCACCAACAGTGTAAAAGCACACCTATTTTTCCACAACCTCTCCAGCGTCTGTTGTTTTCTGACTTTTTAATGACCACTATCTTCAGGATATTTCTAATTTATATTGTGATTTCTTCTTTGATCCATGGATTATTTTGAAGTATGTTTTAATCTCTAGTTATTTTCATTTACATTTCTGTACATTTTCTAGTTACAGTTTTGTTTCTGATTTCTAGTTTAATTCTGTAGTGGTCATGTCACCAGTGGATGTCTTGACTATGAGTCGTCCAGATTCTTGGTGTTTTGAACAAATAATTGGATAAAATGCACAAACAAAGCAACAAAAAAAATGAAGCAATGAACTCATAGATTTATGCTAACATAGATTTAAGCATAGTGAAACAAAATTACACTCCACAGAGCAGCCCAAGAGCACTGGCTACAGAATTTTCTGTGGTTTAAAAACCCTCTAGCGGTTTCCCATTGGTTACTTGGCTACCTCCTATGTAATGAAGGACTGACCTGTGACCAGTCTGATTGGTTGGAGGAGGTGACCAACAGAGGCTAAAGTGAAGTTACAGAGTTACCCGTGAAGACTTGGCTGGTCACCAGTCTGACTATGGGAGGGGACCAATCAGAGGTACTTCCCATTTTTCATCTGCCACACAGTGCAAAGGGAGTAGCCTCTGATCCTTTTGTTACTTGGGTATGGAGAGCTGGGGTTTTACTTTTGATTCAGTTCTAGGAAGTCAGCATGGCCTTAGGTTTCCTGCCTTCAGACTTTATTCTCCTGCCTCGTTTAGAAAACATCCTCTTCATGCTTCCAATTTGTGAAATGTATTGAGACTTAATTTATTGCCCAGCATATAATCAATTTTGGCAGATTTCCACAGGCACTTGAAAAAAAAAAGAATTCTGCAGTTGTTGAATATACATCTTTTTTTTTAGAGCTGTGGTTCTCACCACTGTTTTAAAAGAACCACAGGTCATATGCCGTGTGTGCACACATGCTATTTTTTCTATGGTAAGAAAATACTTCATCTTGTTTTGCAGGTGCTATGCAATATGCAGATGGTAAATTAAAATGCTTAAAATATATCCATGCCTAAATCCTTTTATAGATATGTTATTTATATAGAAATAGGGGTATGAAATTAGGTAATAAAGCAAGAACTAAAGTAATAGGAGGGCATCATCACGTGGTGTTTGATAGTTCCATAGAAATTTCTTCTTAAGGTTGATGTTTACAGTGTAATTTAACAATAATAATATAAATTTTGTTGCTTTATAAAATTATTTAAAAATTTTTCTTATGTCAATTACATTTAAGCCAACTCAGTACACTATGTAGACTAAAAAGAGATTGCAAACATTTGAAAAGGAGGGATCTTCAGAGCTATATTTTTTAATGAAATTTTTATTCCACCTACATTTGTGTGTTCTACACTTTAAAAAATAAAATGCAAAAATAAAGTGAAAAGTAAAGATAAAAGTGTGGTGTTACTATTTTCAAAACTTGAAGGATATGGTGTGGCTAAAATAAATTTTATATATTCACAGCTTTAATGTTGTTTCTCTCAAATCCAGAAAACAGTAGTGAAGTCTACCCATTGAGCCCACTTAACATCTTTATATATCACAAACCCATTTTGTGTAACTTGTGCCTTGGTCTCTGGAGCAAGAGTTACACTAAATCTAAAGTAGCACCAGATGCCTGGAGCTCAGCTGTGATAATTCACTTAGTTGGCCCACAGCTAGGCAGGGACCTAATATAAAAAAGCAAACCAAAGGAAATAAGGTATAACATTATTACCAGACTGAAATTATCCTGTGCTGGCATATCAAAAGGAACCTCAGAAAAGGATTGTTATATTGAGGAAAAAAAATACTCTGATCAAGAAAACAGGCCTGGCACAGTGCCTTATACCTGTAATCAACACCTTGGGATGCTGAGGCAGATTGCTTGAGCCCAGGAATTCAGGATCAGCCTGGGCAACATGGGAAGACCCTGTCTCTACAAACAGTTTTTAAAATTAGCCAGGCATGGTGGCACATGCCTATAGTTCCAGCTACTTGGGAGGCTGAGGAGGGGGGATCACTTGAGCCTAGGAGGTCAAGACTGCAGTGAGCCATGTTCACTGGATCATGAACTGGATCATGTTTGTTTTGTAACCAACATTCTTTCTCTTTCATCCTCCCTCCTGGATCCTACATTGTTTAGGCATCTACTCTTTTCCACATAGGTACGAAGAGTGAAGCTGGCCCCATCCCCAGCTTCAAATTTTGATGGCTTCTGATTAATTTCAGACAATTATGGTCATCCCATTTCTTCTACCAGTGATGGGTTTAGGAATAGACATGTGACCCAGGTCTGTGCATTGAGATCTGTGAGGCAATATGCTCAAGACTTCTAGGAAAGATCACCTGTCTTCTAAGAAAAAAGGTAAAGGAGTAGATGGTGTGCTGACTCCCAAAACCACTTACGTTGGAAAATTTTTAATTGACTTCATGTTACAGTATTTAGGTATTACCCTTTAATTCGGTGGCTAATTAAATATGCACTTTTAAAGGGGCAGAGGATGTCAGTTTAATGATTGATAAACTTTGTCCTATCCCTTGAGAATATATTTGGAAACAGCAGAAAATCCAAATACTGTTTTTTCTTTTTCTTTAACAAATAGGGATTTGTCTCAGCCATCAAGTTTGGCGGTAGGTATTTAGTGATGTTTCAGATACCCGGACTTTTCATTTTCCTGCTTCTGCCTTCCTAGCTTTCATTCTCGTACTTACCACTGTATGGTCACAAGGTAGCTGCTACTCCTCCAAGAAGGAAGCAGGGGAAAGGCAAAGGGACAAAGGGGCATGCCAGTAGAGTCTGGCTGCTTTTATCAGGAAAACAAAACTTTCCTGGAAGGTTCACTCTGAAATCTGCTTAGATCGGCCACTCCTAATCGGAATGCTGCTTAGGAGAAAAAGAGGTTATGGATGGAGTCAAGTCAGTCTGCCAGCGGTGGCAGCCACACATAGTTACCCACCCCACATAAATGGATCAAGCTAATTAACCGCCTAAAACCACTTGTCTCTTTACTATTCTGTAATTCTGTGGGTTATTTTGCTATGACTTGCAACATGTCTAATCTGTCTTCTTGAATTCAGCTTCAACTATATTAATTCAGCCACTTTTTTACTTTTTGCTTATGTTATAAACTAAAGTTAGTACAGCCGGCCCTCCATGTATGTGGATTCTACATCTGTGAATTCAACCAACCTCAGATGGAAAATATTTGAAAAAATGTATGGTTTCTATCAGACTTTTTCTTATTATTTCCCAAACAATACAGTATTACAACATTTACATAGCATTCACATTTGTGTTAGATATTGTAAGTAACATCGAGATGATTTAAAGTATGTGGGAGGATGTACTTAGGTTATATGTAAATACTACACCATTTTGTAATAGGTACTTGAGCATTTTTGCGTTTTGGTATTTGAGAGGGAATAGTGGGGTTAGAACCAGTTCCCCACATATGCTGAGAGATGACTCTGTGGATAGACTATTAGACTCACTAGGTAAGACATTTAGTTTTACTTTTTTTCCAAAATTGGGGCCTCTGAGCAACTATGTAAATTTGTGCTACATTTGTGCAAATTATTATTTTTCATTTGAACCAAGCATTGTGGTAATTTTTAAATGAAGCTTATAGTTCTTATGTAACTTTTTATCTTAGGAAGAACAGAGGAACTATTGAATGTTTGAACTGAACTCCATATCAATGATAATACAAACTACTGTTTCAGGGTCCCTTGAGAAAAGAGATGCACAGTTCATTAAAAGAAAAAAAAAAGATCAGTGTTTACATTTAGTGTTTAGCATTGCATTCAGAATTTGTCTACAAAGACTTAACTGTTCTTAAATTATGTACTGGGCTCTATTTCCCTCCTGTCCCCAACTCTGTCCTTGTTCACAGATACATTTATTCTCAATCCCTGAGATAAATAATTGAGGTAAAAATTAAAAGGAGAATTTTAGAGTGAAAGAAAATGTGGTTTCATGTTAACTGCTAGAGGTAGAGATGCCTACTATAGGCAAAATGGAGTCATAATTTACAAAGAATACAGACACAGATGTAGAGTGGGATAGAGTGCCATTATAATGGAGAAGAGACAGAACACAGCCTCCAATCTTTGCTGATTGATGGATGTTAGCAAACAGGGAATGGGCCTGATTCACAGTACACCTCATTTTAGGATTCTGGATCCAGAACAGATATAGAAAAACATTTCTGACACCGCCAGCTGAATGCTGGTTTAAGTTCATCTCAGTAACTGAAGAACATAGGTGAGTTCTTGTTGAACACAGTTGAAGAACAAGCAGAGGTATTATGTTTGTTTTTCCAACCATATTTGTATTGCTTTGACCCTAGGGTGGCCACAGATCACAGGGTAACAGATGAAGTATGTATACATCAGGATTGTTTTGAGACAGACAAATAAATACACTGTTTAATACTTATCACTCCCTCATTTTTATGATATGTAACAGGATCTTTCTTCATATATGACTTTTATTTTTGCTAATCTTATTATGCAGGAGGTGAGGAGTGGGAAACCAGATTATTTTATTTGTGCCTCTGAACTAGGGAAGAAGAGGTCATTAGTAAATCTAATAGTTATGTTGCCATCAATTTTTTGATCCAGTTTTCAAAAGTTATTTACAGTTATTGTGTGTAACACTATACTGCATGTTGAGGCTAATTGGAAACAGTGACCAGATTCTTAATCATTATCAGGAAACTGCATTCAGAGAATGAGAAGAACACCCCCGCTGGATGAATTGCAGCCACCACCATATCAGGATGACAGTGGTTCTCCCCATCTGTCATGTACACCCTCAGAAATTGGGGACAGTAAATGTGAATTTTCCCACTGCAGCAACAGTCCAAGATGCTCATATAACAAGTGCCCAAGTGAAGGAAGCACAGGTCATGAAATAGAAAGTTTTCATAATAAAGGATATGAAGAAGATGTTCCAAGTGACAGCACTGCAGTCCTGAGCCCTGAAGTAAGTAAAAGCACATAGAAGTTTGAAAGTGAATGTTATTTGGAGGAGGATAATCCTGTGCTTCTCCTCTTGGTAAGAAGAATTGATTTTTATCACTATCTTATTCCTTTGTAACTTATAGTACCAGTATCCATCCTTAATCTAATCTTTATCCAACAAACTTACCAGGAATGTCCCAACTAGTCTTCAACTGCCCCCACTCCCCAACCCCAAGCCCCACCACCAAAGGAAGATGGGTACCTACAGATGTTTTTTTTTTAACACTTTGTATAAAACATTCTAGAATAATTGATTTTATCATTTATTTCATCTTGAGGCTACTATTTGTATTATTTTATTTTATTTTGGAATTTTTTTTTTACTATGAGAAGGTTACTCAATGTTTCACAAGTCTTTCATAATCTTATTGTATTTTCATATCATAGAAAATACAAGGGATAAATGATGATCAGCTTTACTAATGAAATTTGAATCCATGGCTTCATGCATTCAGAGTGGCTGGTTGGTTGGGCTTTAAGTTTACTTACTGTTTTGGAGCAAAAATGTGAAAATGACAACAAAAATAATTTTGTGGCCGTTGTGAAGTATTACTGTATTCTAAAAAGAAGTTGTTTTAATGTTTCTGTCATAATGAAAACAAAAAAGGCAATCTAGTGGTTTTATAAGTTAGTATTTAGATTTACTTTCAAGTTTTTTTGTTTTTGTTTTGAAACAGGGTCTCGCTCTGTCACTCAGAACAGAGTGCAGTGGCGCAATCACAGCTCACTGCAGCTTCGTCCCACCTCAGCTTCCCAAGTAACTGATACTACAGGTGTGTATCACCACACCTACAAATTTTTTAATTTTTTTGTAGAGACAGGGTTTCACTATGTTGCCCAGGCTGGTCTCAAATTCCTGGGCTCAAGCAGTCTTCCTGCTTCAGCTTCCCAAAGTGCTGGGTTTGCAGGCATGAGCCACTGCACCCAGCCTACTTAAAAGTTTTAGATTGCAAGTTTTTACTGCTTTTGTTCCAGACAACATTCAGTAATACTGAAATATGTCCGTATTCTTACCAGACGAATTTTCAGATCTGCTGCCAAAATTAAATAATAGATGTAGTTTCCTAATACCCAGAACAATTAAGCTATGGATAGAATTTCCTTAATTTTAAGCTTTTCTTTTATAATTGTTAAAAATACCTTGTATCTGTTATTGCTTTTTTTAGTATTTCTAGTATTACAGTATCTGACCTAGAAGAAAATTATACATTGATATTTTAAGTTTAATATATCATTATTTTATTATTTTTCATGATGTATGTTTCTTTGTGTTCCATTACCTAAACAAATTTGAGACAGCTGTTTTGTAGCTTTGTAAACTACATATACAGCTCACAAGTTAACAGTGAAGTCTGGATTGTGGGATTAATAAACAACAACAAAATACTATCACCACTGTGTCAGGAATTTTGCTATGAGCTTTATGTAGTCTGCTCATTTAATTCTAACAACCACATCTTTAGGAAGTTATTATCTCCATTTTATAAATGAAAACATTAAGAGTCAGAGAGCTAAACAATTTGACTAAGTATAAGCAGCTCTTAAATAGTGGAACTACAGTTCAAACCCAGGTCTGTCTGACTGCCAAAACGGTGCTCTTAACAACTATATTATATTGTCTTTTTTGATCCAAAACGTTGTGTGAGAAATTACTTTGATTCAGTGGTACCCTCCAACATTACCAGGCAAACTCTCTCAGAGGACTAAAGGACCAAAGTAAGATGCTCAAATTATGTATGTGTGTGTGTGTGAGAGAGAGTGTGTGTGTGTGTTTTAATCCATTTCACATACAAAGCAAGAAGTAAGAGGAGCTAGATGAAATCAGAAATCCGTTAACACACCTAGGGATAAGCTGCAAGTGGGTATGGGTAGCAAGACCACACTGTGTGAGTCCTGGTTTATGCAGTGCCCATACATCCTATCTCACTGTCTCTTTTCCATCAGCATTCCTATTTATGATGTAACAAGGACCAGAGTTGAGATTTGAACAAGGGTACCAAGAGCCAACAGCATACACTTGTTTGTTTTGTGGGAGAGATATAGTTATACTCCTGACCATCACTTAAACTTGTCAGTTAGCCTGCTAGGCAGTTGTAGGTTTTATCTGCATTTCTTAAGTAGAGCACATGGGTGACAGAGCTGTCAGCCCAGAGGCTACATGATCGTGGCTTGTGCATTTCATCCCTTTCTATAGGTAACACTCATTTGATCCATCATATTTTCTATTTAATCTTTCTTTGGCATATGTTGTAAGTTATTAACTATTTGTATTTAATATCTTATGAATTCTGCCTATGTCTCACAAGCTGCTTCTTAACTCACTCTCTATAGTTATCACACACTGTGAGTTTTGTCCGTATTTCAGAAGCTGCTAACTTGCTATCTGTAACCACTTCTTTGGAATTTCCTCCATCCTGCTTATTTTTGTGTCTTCTGTAGTAGCATTGAATGTGCTCAAACTATGTAGCAAATGCACATTACAGAAATATTTAGATGTGAATGCTGATAGCCTATGCTAATATAAAATTCACTTTTGTGTTTTTTCAAGTTTATTTTGCATCCTTGTAATAGATATTATGTGTCAAATAGAAAATTCTCACTTTTCTCTTGGTTTAATCCAGGCTGTAGTTATCTTAGAGCCTATCCACATATATGATTAAACTGAGAGAGGAGAGAAGGTTCAGAAGAATTCCATGGGAAGGAGTTTATAGACGCTGTTGATGACCTATTGCTATCTAGATAAAGTTTTTTTAAAACTGGTCCAGATACCTTGAAAGGAAGAATTGTTTGCTTATTGCCTATTTTCAGAATGCAAATAATGTCTTTTATCTGTAAATGTTCTACCCTTTCAACACTGGGTTTCACAAGAATTGTTGGCATGTTTGGAAAAAAAAGAAAAAACAATCAGGGAGGCACCAAGAGAAACAAAATTGAAAAATAGCTATCTAGGACCTGATAAACATTTTTATTGCCTGAAAATCTTAGCTGTCATGATGCTGTTTTAGAAAATCTTTAATTGAAATACCAAAACCATATAATTAATAATCTTTAATTACCAATTATAAAGTAGTATACATTAAAACATTTTGCTCTAAACTGTAAATTTTTTTAATAGAATAAGAATATGTTTTGATTTTCTCATACTATATTAAAAACTGAATTCTCTTATGGGAATTTATTCCTTCCCCCCAAGTATTGTTCTTCTGTTGTTTTTTTCCCCCATACATTATACCAACTAGCATGTAAGATTTATAAGACCAAAGACTAACTGGGCATGGTGACTCCACACCTGTAATCCCAGCACTTTGGGAAGCCGAGGCAGGAGGGTTGCTTGAGCCCAAGAGTTTGAAACCAGCCTGGGTAACATAGTAAGACTTTTGTCTCTACTAAAAATCAAAAAATTTAGCCAGGTGTGGTGGTGTGTGCCTGTGGTACCAGCTATTCAGGAGGCTGAGGCAGGAGGATTACTTGAGCATGGGAGGCCAAGGCTGCAGTGAGCTGTGATTGTGCCATTGCACTCCAGCCTGGTTGACAAAGCAAGACTCTGTCAAAAAAAAAAAAAAAAATTAAGGACTCATGTCTTTTTAGTTCTCTCTGCAGAAAGAAGCACTCTCCCGACCTAAAATAGGGCTTGGCACATAGTAGGTACAGTAGTTACGGTACATGTTAAGCTGCTACAACAAAAAGACCCCTCAGCCCCCACCAAATACAATGGCTAAGGAACACAGAAACTTACTTCTCTTTTGTTTAACAACAGTGCATGGTGAGCAGGGGGCTTTGCTCTATGAGATTATTCAGGGACCCAGTTCCTTCTCTTCTGTTGCTCTGCCTTGCCCTAGGGTGTTGTCCTAGTCCACATGGTCTGAGCAGACCCACACATCCTGACTGTATATCTGCTTGTGAGAAGAGTGAGACAGAGAGTGGAGAGCAAGTAATTTCTTATATAAACCTGATCTGGATGTTTCACACATAAATTATTTTTGCCTCCCATTGGCCGAAGCTGAGTCATGTAGTCGTATGAGCTATAATAGAGGCACTGAAGTATATATAGTCTCTTATGGACAGTGTTTTTTCTTTTTTTTTTTTTTTTTTACACAAAGTCTCACTCTGTCACTGAGACTGGAGTCCACTGGCATGATCTTGGCTCACTGCAACCTCTGCCTCCCTGGCTCGAGCGATTCTCCTGCCTCACCCACCTGAGTAGCTGGGACTACAGGCACCTACCACCCATACCCAGTTAAGTTTTGTATTTTTAGTAGAGATGGGGTTTCACCATGTTGGCCAGGCTGGTCTCAAACTCCTGACCTCAAGTGATCTGCCTACCTCGGCTCCCCAAATCTTGCGGGTAGTATTTCTAGCTAACACTCAGGAGGATTTTGTTTTGTTTTATTTTGTTTTGTAAATGGAAAAAGAGAAGACTGAGATTCAGTAGTATTCACTGCCACTCAAAGTTTAGAAAATTTTAAAAATTTATTAAATTGGCCCACATTTTGAAATGAGAATTATTTAAGATTTATTAAAATACTTGAAGACGCAGAGTGGTATAGTTGAAAGGTCAGAGACCTAGGTTTGACATTGTTGGTAACTAGCTAAAACCCCTATTACATTCTAGATAGATAGACTGGAAGGAATTTGAGACAATTACAGGAAAAATGGTTATAATTTCTTTTAATTTCATAGTTAAAATGTACCATTTCAGCCTTTCATGAACTTTTAAAATGTGTGTTCTGTCATTTTAAATAGTCATTAATGTTAGAAAATAATGTGTTTTTAATTGTGGTTAGAAATTGAAGTAAATATAGTCTATGTTACGGAAAGTAAATATTTGCTAATATTTTGAGACCTTTATTTATGCTTTCACATTTCCATTGATTTTTAAGTCTAAATATCTTTATATTTTATTACAGATTGGGGTGTTTTAGAACAAACTCTGAAGACGGAACCAAATTTTTTAATAGCATTATACTTTTACTTATGTTCTGTTCCTCTGCAGCCTGATACTGTGCTGTCAGTGGCATTGTTTATAACATTGAAAGTAAAATGTAGTAGTTTTCTACAAAAGGAGCAGATATACCCACTAAAGGATATATTTTAAATTATCATTTATAAAAACATACATCACACTTTCTCAGAATTGTAATGGTGAATATTAAATTCTAAACGTGTCTTTATTATCATAAGTTTTGAGTTTAACTTACTGCTTATAGTAATCTCGCCCTATAGGGTTGCTTTTGGTTGTAGTTGACAGTTAATTGTTATCGTATTACTTTCTTTGTGGCAGAATTGTTTTCACATCACAAGGCTTTCACATCACAAAGCAGAGAGACTGTTTAGAATGGTATTTCCTTCTAAAGAAATACCAAGTATTTATTGACATGCTAGGTTAAATAATTGAGTTAAAAACTCTAACATTTAAATTTTCTTTGCTTAGGATATGTCAGCTCAAGGATCATCATCACAGCTTCCTAAACCTTTTGATCCTGAGCCAGAAGCTAAATATGGCACACTGGATGTGACTTTTGACTATGACTCACAAGAACAGAAGCTTCTGGTAACAGTGACAGCTGTCACAGACATCCCAACATATAACAGGACAGGTGGCAACTCATGGCAAGTACACCTTGTTCTTCTACCTATAAAGAAACAGAGAGCAAAAACCAGCATCCAGAGAGGACCATGCCCTGTCTTCACAGAAACATTTAAATTTAATCATGTTGAATCTGAGATGATTGGAAATTACGCAGTTCGGTTTAGACTGTATGGTGTACATCGCATGAAAAAAGAAAAGATTGTGGGGGAAAAGATTTTTTATTTAACAAAATTGAATCTTCAAGGGAAAATGTCATTGCCTGTGATATTGGAACCTTCTTACAATCATTCTGTGAGTATCTCATCAAATGGCCTGAATATAGTTTATGTTCATGGTTTATAGTGTGCACAATTTTAAAAATCTTTAATCAAGCCAACAAGTTTGTCAGTCTATTTTTTAACATAGTAATCATGCCTTTTCAAAAATATCTAAGCCCTGGATAGATAGATATACTTTTTCTTACCTAAAAAAGTTGCCCTTGAAGATAATTTGTGATTTATGTCTTTTATTTTATCCTTCACAGAGTTTTGGCCCAGGGTTTTACATGTTTGTTATTTTGTTGAACATTTATTAAATGTTTGATTATGAAGTCATCCAAACTCCTTATAGATTTTTTTTTCCAGGTTAAAATTAGGCAATGCATTCAGAAGTATCAGCCCCATATATTATTTGCTATATGGCAGAAAGGATTTGCCCTTACAGAATATGTACTGCTCCCTAGGTCATGACTGGATATGTTTCCAGAACTTCTGTGAAATTATTTTAAAGTTTCAAAATAAATCTGGCCTCAGTAGACTTTCCACCCTTTTTAAACAGATTGTGAAGTATTTCCAGAGAACCCTTAAGCTTAGTATTTTGAGCTAGTTCTCTCTTTTCTCTTTTTGTCCTCCAGATGATAATCACATACAAATCTCTCTCTCTGTCTTCATATTTTAAACTAAATTCCCACAAGGCATTGCAAATCACAGGAGAGAAATGTCTGCACTGTTTATTTAAACCAGGGAGATACATTATGCCACATTTAGATTATGAAAAAATCTGTGATATGCTATAAGTGTGCATTACGGTTTATATTTATTCCTCTCTGTTATATTGAAAACAAAGCATTTTTAAAATATAAATATACAGATTTTAGAATATATTTATATTTTAAAATAAAGGTATATTATTTTAGTTTTGTTTTAAGCTTTTAAATGTGTAAGCTTCAGTCCAAGTAGTTTAGGGTCTCATTGCATTTACACCAGGCAACATTTTATGGTGTAGGAACTTCATTCACAGTCACACCATACCAGTTTAACTAAATGATTTCAATGTCTTTATGTACAAATGATGATGGTAAATATAGTATATTCATATGGGTTTCTAGGATAAGAATTAATATATTTCGGGAAAATTGATAACTTGCTATCCTTTTAAATTTTCAGAATTATCATTTTGAGGAAATGCCTTTTTAAAATAATAGCAGCAGCTTATAAGAGGGGAGAAAAAAGAGTGCAGGCAATATTTCAGGGGGAAAAGAACAAATTTTTCATAAAATTTAATCTACAGTTATTAATATGATTTCTAAACTTTTTCATTATTTGGTCTGGGTGATCACTAGTTATTCTGTGGAAAATACACCCTTATCTAGAAATAACGTATTTAAATTAGCAGAGAAAGACTCTGTCATCAAGAGGTATGTAATTTATCTGTTCCCAATTGTGTTTCAATTACATTCATTTCACAAAGAGAATGAAGTCATAGAAAATAATACTGTCTTATCTCTGTTCAAACTAAGCAATTTTTTAATGGACCTACATTACATGTGTTAGCTTCGGGTCATTGATTCTATAATCTTTTTCTGCCAACCAGTACAATAATTTCTGAGGAAAAAGTGCTAAATAAATAGCTTGTAAGACATAACATTTCTTTTTTATTAACTTTTATTTTAAGTTCAGGGGTACATGTGCAGGTTTGTTATATAGGTAAACTTGTGTCATGGGGGTTTGTTTTACAGATTATTTCATCACCCAGGTATAAAGCCCAGGACCTAATAGTTAATTTTCCTGATCCTCTATCTTCTCCCACCCACCACCCTCTGATAGGCCCCATTGTCTGTTGTTCCTCTCTAAAGATGTAACATTTGTATTTAAATAAAACTATCCATCTTCTGCCCTTAGAGAATGTTTTCTCTGTGTTGACATGCTTCTCAAATTTAGTACCCTATATTTAATTATTCTTCTTTATTACTTTCCTTCTTTCTCCACCTTCTCAAATCTCATTGGTTCCTTTTGGCTTCTGTGCTATCAGTTATTTAGTTGTTAAAATATACCAATAGAATGTATATATTCTATATATACTATAGTATTAATGTTCTCTTTGCTTAAGTTTTAATATTAACTTTGTGGGGAGATCTTGTGATTACAGTTTACTTGGGTGAGTTTGGCTCTAATTTTTGTAAGATGTAGTAATATATCTGTAAGAGATATACTCATAATTAAACATTTGTTCTGGTTGCTTTTTTTTCCCCCAGAGTCAGGGTCTCACTCTGGGAAAAGTCAGGGTCACCCAGGCTGGGGTGTAGTAGTGCAATCATGGCTGACTGTGGCCTGAAACTCCTGGGCTTAAGCGATCCTCCCACCTCAGCATCTCAAATAGTTAGGACTACAGGTGCACACCACCAGGCCTGGCTAATTTTTTTTTTTAGAGATAGGGTCTTGCTATGTTGTCCAGGCTGGTCTTGAACTCCTGGCCTGAAGCGATTCTCCCACATCAGTCTCCCAAAATGCTGGGATTACAGGCTTGAGGCACCATTCCAGGCCTTCTGGTAGCTTTTGAATACTTACTTATTATTGTTGTCATTTTTGTTGTGAGGGTATTAGCCTTTTGGCCAGGAAAATTTTAATCCAGCCAAAGAACTTGCAAACTACCATTAAAACACATTTAAGCTTACAGTTTTTTTTCATAGATAATAGGAACATAGAATTTTGCATATAAAATTTAGTTTTATAGCTAGTTTTGCAGGAACTGATTGAGAGAAAAAAAGACCAATGTCACCAAAATGACTTTCTGAGGACTAAACAGTAGGTTTCCCTGAGAATAAGATTAAAGTTTAACATTAAGGCCGGGGCGCAGTGGCTCATGCCTGTAATCCCAGCACTTTGGGAGGCCGAGGCAGGTGGATCACAGGTCAGGAGATTGAGACCATCCTAGCTAACACGGTGAAACCCCATCTCTACTAAAAATACAAAAAATTAGCCGGGCGTGGTGGTGTGCGCCTGTAGTCCCAGCTACGCGGGAAGCTGAGGCAGAAGAATGGTGTGAACTCAGGAGGCGGAGCTTGCAGTGAGCCAAGATCGCGCCACTGCACTCCAGCCTGGGTGACAGAGCAAGACTCCATCTCAAAAAAAAAAAAAAAAAAAAAATTAAAATACCATTTGAAGTGTTCCTTCTTGATCATTGCATGATAGAAAATATACTAAGAATTAAAAAGCATAATTTCTTTCTACTGACTAGCCATGTAAACTAAGTAAATCATCTGATCATTTTGGGTATCAGGTTTCTCATTAGTGAAATGAGAGGATTAGACCAAGTGATCTCTAAAAGCCTATCCATCTCTGATATTATCTAATTATGCTAGTTTATGTTGGGGAAGGAGTTAGGTAGGAACAGAAATTGGTGAATTTTAGATGGGTTTGTATGCTTGATATGACATTTTGTGGCAGACATGTATTATGTTTTCTCACTCTTCCACCTTTTCAGTAACTATCTGGGAATAACTATGTCTACCTCCCTAAGGTAAGCCATAAGTTGACTTTCCCAGTCTCACTGGTAGGTACGGCAGGAGCTGTGTGACCTAGACTCTGCCACTCATATTCATTTTCAGGAAACCTCAATACAGACTGAACAAAGAAGCAGGCACTGCACTCAGATCATGTTTCCATGAAGTTGATGGTGGAGGTATCTGGTTTTCAGAGGCAATAGTAACTCTGTTATAAAATAGCTCTGCTGATGCAGAAATGGTATTGGTGCTGGGCCACTAACAGTTGCAATAGAGAAAAGTCCTTGGCAGAAAAGAATCCAGTGAGAACAGCAGCAGGTTCTCCTCACCCAACCAATTCTGTAGTATGATTTTTAGACTTCATTCTTGAGAAGCTTAACCATTAACTTGGTTCTTTATTCATCCCTATTCCTTTAATAAATTACTATTCCACTTAATGAGTCAGTTAGCTTCTGTTGTTTTCAAATAAGAATCGTGAAATAGCCATATGGTTTACTATTAACTTGCTTTAGTACTGTCTTATGCCAAACTCAGTAGCTAGAACGTTGTCAGTTATCCTTCCTACCATGGTATATATCCCTCTCATAATTTGAACTCTTCTTACATACTCAGCTTTGTTCAGATGGCACTCTTTCTTAGCATATAACCCCAATTAATTTCTTCACTTGGATTTTTGGTACTATATTACTCTCTGTAACAGTTGCATAAAGCAGCCTTTCCCTTTTTCCTCATCCTGGTTTTACGTCTAATTGCAGCTTATTAGATTTGTTAATGTTATTATATTTGATTGATTAATAATGAAACTTTATTCTTTCTCTCACAAACATACACACAACCCTTCCTGTACAAACAGTACTTAATTAGCCTGATCTCTTCGGAGTGGCTAGCGATAATAATAGTGAGGCTACCTACACATTGGACAGTTCTCATAATATAGGAATCTTTATTAAATCATTGGTTTACTTTAAATAATATGTATGGTTTTTGGTGAGTTGCCTTTTAGGAAAACTGATATTTGACAAAGCTGTGTTGTATTTCATCTTGAAATAAGGTTCTCTACATTAATAGATGAGCTGCAGGCGTACCTATTAAGTTTTTTTTCTGTAGACAAATGGTTCTCAAAGTGTGATTCCTGGACCAATAACATCATCACATAGGAACTTGATAGAAGTGCAGATTCTCAGTCCCTCTCTGAAACTGTCTGAATTAAAAAAAAAATGTGAGGGTAGGGCCCAGCAATCTGTATTTTAACAAGCACTGTACATTATTCTGATATACATTAAAGTTTGTGAATCACTGCTTTTGACCAGGGTTTGCAAACTATGACTTGTGAGTCAACTCTGGCATGTAGCCTGCTTTGGTAAGGTCTGTTGCTCCTCTCTGCAAAAGCAGCATAGATTACCACTCTGTTCAACTCAGGTGTGGCCACATGACTTGCTTTTATCTTTTGCTCATAACCTTTAAGAATCAGAATAATGCTTTCACTATTATGGAAGCATGTGTGGAAATGGAGCCTCTTTGAGCTTTGAAG